CTCATGAGGAACCTGTACATAGACCAGGAGGCTATCATTCAAATAGAACAAAGGGATACTGTACGGTTTAGAATCAGGAAGGGTGTGTGTCAGGGTTGTATCTTTTCACCATACTTAATCAAACTGTATGCTGAGCAAGTAATCTGAGAAACTGGATTATATGAAGAAGAACATGGCATCAAGTTTAGAGGAAGAGTCATTAACAACCTGTGATATGTAGACATCACAACCTTGCTTCCTGAAAGTGAAGATGATTTGTGGCACTTACTGATGAAGACCAAAGTCTGCAGTATGGATTACACTTCACATGAAGAAAACAAAAATCCTCATAACTGGACCAACAAGCAGCAACATGATAAATAGAGAGAAGATTGAAATTGTCAAAGATTTCATATTATTTGGATCCACAATCAACAGCCATGGAAGCAACAAGTCAAGAAATCAGACATCATATTGCACTGGGCAAATCTGCTGCAAAAGACCTCTTTAAAGTGCTGAAGAGCAAAGATGTCACTTTGAAGACTAAGATGCACCTAATCCAAGCCATGGTATTTTGAATAGCCTCACATGCATGTGAAAGCTGGACAATGAATAAGGAAGACGGAAGAAGAGTTGATGCTTTTGAGTTGTGGTGTTAGCCAAGAATACTGAAAGTTCCATGGACTGCTAGAAGAGCAAACAAATCTGTCCTGGAAGAAGTGCAGCTGGAATGCTCCTTGGAAATGAGAATGGCCAGACTTCATCTCACCTACTTTGGTCATGTTGTCAGAAGGTACCATTCCCTGGAGAAGGATATCATGCTTGGTAAAGTGGAGGGTCAGCAAAAAAGGGGAAGACCCTTAAAGATTGATGGATGCAGTGGCTGCAATGATGGGCTGAGGTGTAGTAAGGATTGTGAGGCCGGTGCAGGACCAGGCAGTGTTTCACAGTCTGTTGTACATAGGCACCTAACAACAAATTAAGGTAGAAATATATATACTAGTACACCCATGTGTGTGTGTATATATATATATATGTTGTTGTTGTTGTTAGATGCTGTCGAGTCATTTCCGACTCATAGTGACCCCATGCACAGCAGAACGAAACACTGCCTGATCCCACACCAGCTCCATGATCCCTGCTATACTTGAGCCTATCATCACAGCCACCGTGTCAATCCATCTCGTTGAAGGCCTCCCCCTCTTTCGTTGACCCTCCACCAAGCATGATATTCTTCTCCAGGGAATGGTCCCTTCTGACAACATGGCCAAAAAAGGTGAGACGAAGTCTGGCCATTCTTGCTTCCAAGGAGCATTTCAGCTGCACTTCCTCCAGGACAGATCTGTTAGTTCTTTTAGTGGTCCATGGTACTTTCAGCATTCTTCACCAGCACCACAACTCAAAAACATCAACTCTTCTTTGGTCTTCCTTATTGGTTGTCCATCTCTCACATGCATATGAGGTGATTAGAAATATCATGGCTTGTGTCAGGCACAACTTAGTCCTCAAGGAGACATCCTTGCTCCTCGGCACTTGAAACAGTTCCTTCGCGGTTGACTTTCTCAATGCTATAGGTCATTTAATGTCCTGACTGCTGCTTCCATTGGCATCGATTGTAGAACCAAGCAACATGAATTATTTGACAACCTCAATCTTCTCTCCATTTATTGTGATGCTGCTCATTGGTCCAGTTGTGAGGATTTTTGTTTTCTTTATATTGAGA